TGTATCTTTTTAAGTGAAGGCTATAAAAGAGATGCAGACTGTAATCTTTCTTAAAAAAAGAAAAGTATGCCCAAACAGTTACAAAAAAAAGGCTAAGAAGCTAGGGGTGGGACTAGGGATGACCCTATCTATCTATCTATCTATCTATCTATCTAAGGCAGGGTAGTGCTACTTACTCAGGGGTCCCAGAACTCACAATCTTCCTGTCTCAGCTTCCTGATTAGCTGAGGTTACAGTCATGTACCACCTGATTTTTCAGTTTTGTTTCTCTATACTCTTTAAAATGTTTGAAAAAAGATGCTTTATTTTATCATAGGAAAATAACTAATTTATTTTTTGGAAAAAACTAGCTATCCCCATTCAGATAACTTAAGGTAACAGAGCACCCAAAAAAACAAACAAACAAAAAAAGCCAAGGCCACAGAGCCTGAATTTACAAGAAAGGTTTCACAGTGGCCCAGATCAGTCATGTGTAATTGATGGTCCACAGCTGTTGTCTTATAATGATAATGTTTCATAAAATGACAAAATCCATAGTCACTTGCTTAGTGTGGGTGAACTGCTCACTGGAAGTAACAGACATCTTCTCAAGGTGTTTCACAGAAAAGAGAACCTGGTCCTACTGCATTCACTCCAAGGAGTTTTACCACTCCCCCAACCCCACTCAAAGGACAAACCCCACTCCAAAAAGATGATCTACAGGCTCTTTTGCCCACCAAAGAGGTCTATGGACTTGAACCACCTAAGAACCATCTTGGAAGACGGAGTGAAGAGAAAAGAACTTTGAGTACTCTGTCCTTCAAACCAAGGAATCTGGCCAGCTAGGAATAATATTGGTGGATAGAAAGTAGAAACAAGTCAGAGAAGCCAGGTGTGGTGGGGCATGCCTGTAATTCCAGCACTCAGGAGGCTGAGGCAGGAGGATCCTTGCAAATTTGAGACCAGCCTAGGCTACAAAGTGAGCTCAAGGCCAGCCCAAACTGCATAGTGAGACCCTGTCTCAAAAAAAAGAAAGAAAGAAAGAAAGAAAGAGAGAGAGAGAGAAAGAAGTCAGAAAAAGGAATACAAAAGACAGTGGACAGAATTATATGGACAGGGTTGTCCCGCCACATTGACGAGAGCCAGGCAAGATGTTCTGAACCCATTGTACTCATAAAAATGACTGAGCAGGATCGGCCTGCCTAAGCCATGCCACCAGCAGGGGCCTCCACACATGCTGAGCCCTGGACTCTACAACCAGAACCAGCTCCCCCTGAACGGAGACGGCCATCGTGGGCAAGGTGCTCTCCTGCAGCCCAAAAGTGAGGGAGGCTCAGGACTCCCCGACTGTGCTAGAAGTCTGAATGACATTTTTGGAGAAACTACCTAAGAGAGGAGGGAGAAAAACTGGAAAGAACTTTTTATTTACCAGATGTGGGAGCCGGGGAGCAGAAAGGCCCAGGTATCTGTTAGCAGGAGGGAGGCTAATGTTCTGACTCCAAGCATTTTTACAAATGAGGTGAAAACAGACACATGACTTTCGTCTCTCTCTGCCCCACGAAACACCAAAGAGTGAAATAAATACAGCCACCTCCTGCCCTAATTGCCTGAGATCTACAGTTACTGGTCTGGAACAGTTAACTTTATATAAGGCCCAAGAAAGAAAAATCCTAGTAGAATGGACTTCTGAGTTCTGGAAAACTTGCTCCAAAGATCAGAAAAAAGCAGTCTTCCTTCTGTAGATGAACTCTTTAGAAAGTAAAAATCTGTTACTCCTGCTATTATCTTGGTGAGTAATATCAATGTACAGCTGGTACTCCTATTCTTACATACACCCTGCCACTCCCACTTGAGACAGTATCTCACTGTGTAGTTTAGGCTGGTCTTGTTTTTCTAGGCTGGCCTTGAACTCCCTGTGTAGCCCAGGCTGGCCTCGAACTCCTGGCAATCCTCACCCTCAGCCTCCCAAATGTTGGGATTCAGGTATGCGCCACCACACCCAGATATCCACATTCCTTCCTTGTACCACTCCCCAACCCTGCTGATCCACTGGAGCATTTATCACTTCAGTTCTTGCTCTCATCTGTCACCAGAATCTTCAGCAGCCTCCCCTTCCCTTCACTAACAGCCTCCCTGGCCCCTCTGAACCAGTCTGTCCTCCACAGAAGCATTAAAAAGATTTTTTTTTTTTTTTTTTTTAAAGAGGAAAGGTTTATTTGGCCCAAGTTTATAGAAATTTTAGTTTACAATTGGCTGGCTCCAAGGCAGGATGGCATGGCAGAGGGGCATCACCAAGGAGAAACAGTTCTTGGCAGGCAGAAGGCAGCAAAGCAGGAAGAAACAAATGAGAGATCTTTTCTTTTGGTGCGGCGGGAGTGGTTTGAGACAGGGTTTTGCTATGCAATTCAGCCTGGCCTTGAACTGTAGTTATCCTCCTGCCTCAGCCTCCTGAGTGCTGGGATTACAGGCATGCACCATCATACCCCACCCCAGAAGGATCCTTCTAAAACAGTTTAGATTCTGAAGGTTCCATTTCATCTATTAAGACCAAACTCCAACAGCAAGACCCTCACCACCTGGGTCTTCTTTCTCCAGCCGCACCTCTGACCACTTGTACACAGTTCTGCCATCTAGCTGCCCTGGACCACTCCACAGTTCCTGAAACAGCATCCCTTTTCCTGCCTTCTTAGCAGAAGCCCATCCTTCAGCGGCCAGTTGAGATGCTACTTCCCCTATGAGCCCAAGCGGAGGTGGTAACAACACTCATTATTGCTACGTTCACTGCTCACTGCCTGGAGCTAGGCACTATACTGTACCCTGTCCATCAAGAACGTGCCAGCCTTGCAGACCCTCAGGAAACACCACAACCACCTTAGGAAAGTTCTGCTTTTCTGCTGGTTTTCTTGTCACAGCTTTACTGAGATAAAAACCATATATTCTACTCATTTTACAGATGAAGAAACCAAGGCACAGAATGAAGATTATGGACCCCAAATCACACCACTGCTTCCAGTGCCCATCTTTAACCCTTGTACCAATGAGCCTCAGGTCACTCAACACTGGCACTGTTTTCTAATAATCTGCCAGTGTTGCCCTCTCCTCACTATTTCTTTTATAAATTTCTCAAGGGCCACAAGTCTTTCCTAATTTTGAATTACTAGCACCTAGCACAGTATCTGGCACATATGATGAACACCTGACTGAATCAGGTATCATTTAATGATACATATAAAATCCTTTTAAAAAATATATTCAAGGGCTGGGGATATAGCTCAATGGCACAGCACCTGCCTGGCAGGTACAAGGCCCTGAGTTTGATTCCCAGTATAAAAAAAAAGTATATTATAAACAAATGTCCTTTGGGAAGAATTAATGATGCATGTAAGACAGAATAATGTAACATAGACAAAGCACACAATAAATCTGACTCTTGAAAAAGAGCCTTTAGATTAGTGGTTGAGGGCTCATTCTGGGAGGGGCCGGGCAGAGTTGCTCTCTGTGAAGTAACAACCAGCTGGCTGAGGCCTAAAGCCTGGGGGAGAAACACCGTGTAGCAACGATCAGCGGCCTATGTGAGCAGGCTGGGTGTGGGCTGCGGGGACAGGTGTGAGTGGGGCATGCACACAGCCCGAGCAATGGTGGGGGGAAGTCTGGGGGCACAGAAAGGACTCAGAAAGGGCTAATGTGAGAAAGACCAGAAGATCAGGTAAGGAAGGCAGCTGAACTGAACGTGCTTGGGCAGCAGCAGGAAAGATGAAGGGTAA